CAAGTTGCTGTCACTGTCTTTGTTCTATCGGGTTTCTCACTTTTGGTGACACATCGAGAAGAAATGGTGAAGAGAAAGGAAAATTGTTAGAGACATTGCTAATATTTGAATTTAAATTCCATTTCACTTCTCTTTGATTTAAATTTTAAGGAAATAAAGTCTTTAAAGCGGGACGAGATGAGGTCGTTGCTTTAATCGAAATGCTTTCATGAAAAGAAAGAGTCGGGACAGGCAGTGATAGGCAGCTAGGCAGGGGCGATACTGTTAAAGTATAGATATGATAATAAGCTATAGATAATAGAAAAAATGATCCAGATTATAGTAGAACCTGAATCTTTACTCTCTGAAGTTAGGATATGTATCTTTGTATACTTTGTATATATTATTGTTGTATTGCATTATTTTATACTTTTTGTTCTACCAACACCGTTCTTTTCAAAGAGTCCCACATACCAGCTACCGGCTTAAGTCACTCAAGATATAACATCCCAACTAGATCTAATCAAATTTACTCGACAAGATTAAGATTACGACACTCCAAAGTAACACATAAGCAATTATTAGACCTAAAAGCCAAATCCAACTGTAAGTAACATTAAGATAATTATTGAACTTCTAATATTAAGATATCTATTAAGACCTTCTAAAATATTAATTTCAGTTAAAGGTCCTAGCAGCTAGCTTGTAAGTATTTGTTTTAAAATTAAACCATCAAATAAAACAAATAAATATTTTCTGATGTAAAACATATAGCAGATATTCCTCACAAAATCAACGTTCTAGAGCCTTCTTTTAATTGCTTCTGTCCGATTAATTGAGGGTCTGGACAATGGCTAGGCTAATTGGATTCCAGCATGGGGGTATGCCTGGAGAAGAAGTTATGAGCTCAGCTCGTGGCCGATGACAACATTTGGCCATGGGCCACTTTCGGCTTAAGAAGTGTGAGGCACTTAATTCTACACATATTCCAAGTCTAATAGGCCTTAAGGCCATAAAGCTCTCATTCCAGATGGATTTCGGGAGTAATTTGAAATGTTTCAACATTTGATCCAGAAAGTATGTTTCAGCTTGAGATGAACCATAATGGCAGTACAAATATTTCCCAAACATCTCCAATGTATCTTCGGCACAACGTCAATTGATGGAAGGGAAGACTTTCCTTTTCGTGAGTAGGGCTGGAACCAGTTTCGCCCAAGCCCTGCTTCCCTTCTTCAACCTCCCATTGGCCACATGACGTAAGTGGACTTGATTTACTTGAAACGGCCGGCAGAGAGGGGCAGCTGGAGGGGCGCCCTTGGGCTTAGTGCATCAATCAGTCGCTCTAATAAAGAAAACATGGACAATTTGTCTGGAAGTCGGCAGCGAGAGGAAAACGAGCTGGAAAACAAATGCCAACCAGAGGGGAGAGTTGTCAAGTGCAGGGCCCACTCCCGAGCCCACATGGAGGGGCATTACTCATACCAGGCATGGTCGCCCTGCCCGCCCCTCAGCTGCATAGCTCCTCCGCCATCCGGTGGCTATTTTTAATGCCAAGACACATAATTCATTGTAATTTGCCTGGTGCTGGGTGATGGGTGCTGCTGATGCCAGTTTTCCAGTTGCACTCGGGGAGGAGGCCCTGTCTCACGCAAAACTGCAATCTGCCCGCCATGTCTGCCCTGTCCTGGCACTGGGTATCTGGCTCTTGGCCACTCGTTACTTGTCTAACCTCTCCTCAGCGCTATGCAGTTGCCCAATTTAATCAATGGCCGGCCACCACAAGTGACTCATCCAATAAACTCTTCTACGGCAAACAAATTAGTCATCGCCTGCCCATACAGAGCCCCAGTAGAGAGCCAAGTGTCGCCAAGTATTGGCTGACAAGTTTCCCAACGAAATGGCTCTGAAAACCAAACGGTTGGATGATTAAAAGTTAGTTAGTCTTTCTAATAGTAAACAAGCCCATTGTCATAGCCCCAAAATGCTCATTTTTCGCTCGCAGTGTATGACAATTGAGTCAACTTTTGAACGCTTTTAAAACGAACTTAATTAAAGCGACCTTTCGTGTCACACACGTGTTGTTGTTGCCTCTTGTGGGCTCCAACGGCTGAGACTGGCTGAGGCAACGCCCCCGAAGCGAAAATCCACGCCGCTCCATGCCCGATTCCATGGCTAATTTCATTGATGAATTTTTATTAAATAAATTGTAATGAGGTTTGCCCTCTGGTGGCTAGTGGAGGTCTCTGCCCCACTCTCTCCACCAAGCTGGCGAATCCGCGAGCAAATAAAGCGCAAAAAGCTGAAAATTATTCGAGTGGCGGCGAAACGCTTCTTGGGTTCGGCACCAGACCTCCCTCCGGCCAGGCCGAAGAGGGGCGGCGCGTGTTGGCACTTTAGCAGCTCGGCCTGAACCTGAAACTAGCCCTAGTCGCTGCTACCTGGGAGGGGGGGCCTGTATCGGGCCATCGCTTCTCAAAACTTGTTCAAACAACGCTTATGCGTTCTAAAAATAGTCGAATGCAAACGAAGCCCCAACTCCGTCCATAAATAGCCTGGGTTCGTCTTCGCCTAATTGATCGGCTCCCGCTCGAAAGCAGACTGAGCGGCTGCGCTCCTCTATAATTGTGTAAATATTTGAGCGCCCCAATATGTGCCTGCCAGATAGATAAGGTAATAGAGTCGCGGGTTTTTGTGAATGAAAAATTGAAAAGGGCCGATTTGTAAACGGAAAAGTGATTAGATAAGGCGGCTTTCGCAGCGACTTCATTCTCAAGTGAGATTTTCCTATAAGAGAATACCAGAGATCTACCTACTGGAAATGAATAGAGATTTGGGAATCTAGAGACTCGCTGAAGGGAGAAAAGCTCCTTCTTGACCTTGATCTTAGCCATAACCCGAATTAAGCCTTAAATATGATCTGGGGCGAGTTTCATACATACATATGATATAGCCTTCAACATATTTTTCTTATCTTGTATATAAAACTTGATACTAATACTAATACTAATATGCATTCTACATTAATTTAATACTATTATAAAATAACATTCATCTAACTTGAGGCGAGTTCACTTACTACCATGACAGAGGCCATTATATTTATCAGGCCATTTATCAGGTCTATGCATATGAAACTGCGTTTTACTTCATTGTTAATTATCGGTAACAAAAGTGATCGAAAATTGTTGGTGAACATTTTTTTTTAGCAACTTTTGACATCTGGGAACACTGCTTAAACGTTATTTGCGAGTTTTTTTCCAACAGCAATTTTTTTTCTAATATTGAAAATGTCGAGTTTTATACCCCATTTTTCGCGGACATCGAAAAATGACATGCGAAATTCTCTTGAAAATTCTTGTTATTGCATTGAGCGTATGAGCTCCTTAAACCGGGTGAAACCGTTGATGGCGAACGCTACCAGAAACTATTGGAAGAATTGAAAGAAACTCTGCTCCGAAAACCCTTAGAAAACGCAATAATGCAGCTCAAACCCATTCTTAGATTCCTATGGAGACCTTAAGAATTGGGTAGAAGACTGGTTTGGGTCCAAGGAAAAGGAATTCTTCAAAGGCCAATTCATAAATTGGCCGAAAGATGGGCAAAATGTGTGGCTTTTGAAGGGGCGTACTTTCAAGATTGAAATTGTCAGCATTTATTTTTAATAATACTCCAAAGTAGTAAAAAAAAACGCAGTTTCATATGCATAGACCTGATAAATCAGTGGTCGCCACCCAATACATTGATATTATTTTAATGAATTAGTATTAGTAACGCATAGCAGAAAGAAGGATGAGAACATAAGGTTTTATATGTTTTATACTGTGTGTGAGCGGCAGACAGAGAAATTTCCTATGGAACATGGAAATTGCCCCTGAAATAGGCCCCAATGCTTTAAAATTTTGGCTAAAAGAGTGAGGCTCTTGTCAGGGAAACATCACCGACCCTGTAAAGTTCATCATATGAACCATATCGAGCCGTATTTGCGAAAATAACATGAGCGCCAAAAAGCAAATTTTACTGGAGAGAGTTTTTTCGCGTTTTTGCACGGCCACTAAACTAACATAGACGTTTGTCGCTTTACAGGCCGATGTCTCAATAAATTCATAAATGCAATTAGTTTTTAATATTTTTGGAGTAAATGTTTTCTGAAGAATGGCGCTTTCGCTTACGTTTTTTTCGCCAATAGGGCTCGATATATTCTTGGGTGATATGTCTGTTTATCTGTCTCTTGACAAGTTGTTCTCCTCGTTTTAAAGCTATCCAGTTTAAACGTTTCCAAAATCTATCTTTCCTTTTAATTCCTTTGAAATGAACATAAGTCCTATTACCTCGACTTATAAAAGCTTTATATTATATAGCTGATTCGTCTAAAACGCTACAACTTTGGTGTTTTTCAAAATAAAAGATTGAGATTTTCTGAAGATCCTACTTTTGGATATCGATTTTCATATTTTTATAAGAATTGGCCGACTTGTCCTATAGCTATCTTAGAATTTGATGATCAGTTCTACTTGGAAATGCCCAAAATTTTCTGCGGATAGATGCTTGGGACTTTTTTGTTTAAATTCGAAACGAAATTGGTCCGGTAATAATATTATTTAATTAGTTGCTCCCACCTAATTAATTGAATTATGCTAATTAAATTATCTAATACAATTGATTGAAGTAATAATAAGAATATAAAATGATTTATTTTATTACAAAGCCATAAATAAATAATATTATATTTAGAAATATAATTTTATGAGCTCTAGCTAATAACATATCTTAATTTTCAAAATAAATTGCAAAATTTGAGCACCTTGCTCGGGACACCAAACGGAGCTTTCAATGGAAGTGCCCATATATCCTCCAAGAGTAGAATCCTTATACTACAGGTAGGTATATTCTTATACTTTTCCTGCCCTATTAAGCCCTATTAATAATATATAATCCCCAGGAACAATAATCCTTTGAATCAGTAACTTTTCTTCCATCTTATGGTCTACCATGGAGTCTCTTAAAAATGCTTCGTCACTCACCTTTCAGTCTCGGATTCTGCATTTGGTTGCTGCTGTAGCTGCTGGATCTGTTGCTGTGTAGACGCTGCAGTGGCTCCAGTGGCCGTTGCACTGGCAGCTCCGGCCGTGGCAACTGCTGTGGCGGCTGCGGCCGCTTGTTCGTCGGTCAAGGGCGCGCTGCCCTCGGCGCCGGGCGCCACACTCGGATTGGTTAGGTTTATGGTACTGTTATTGGCACTGGCACTCGCGATATTTGTTGGTGGAATCTGTGGCTCCTCCGATGGCTGCTGCTGCTGCTGCTGCGGTGGCACCATCAACTGCTGGGGATCGGCAATCGTGGCCGGAGCGCTCTGCAGCTGCAACGTGGGAATGGTGGCTCCTGTTGCAGCAACTCCTGGCCCTGCCCCTGCTCCTGAGACTGCTGCTGGCGCTGCGCCCACTCCTGCCTGGGGCTGCTCGTAGCTGGTCATGTGCGAGAGCAGCGGCAGGGTCTGGCCCTGGGTGGTCACTGCTGTGTTGGAAGTGTTCGAAGTCTGTTGCTGTGGAGGGGCGGCCGCTGCCGCCGGAGTGGCTCCTGCCACACTGGCCACTGCTGCCGGCACGGCTGCCGGTGGGGCTTGGTGTGGCGTCGTTCGCTGCGGAGTCTGCTGCTGCTGGGGGTTGAACGGCTGGGTGGCGATCCCATCGATCTGGGATGTGGCCTGCGGCTGCTGCTCCAGCTGGAAGTTGGGCGCCTGCCCGGCAGCCACGGCTGCGAAGGTGGGCGTCGCTTGGGGGGTCTGCGGGGCCGGCGACAGCGGCTGCTGCTGCTGCTGCTCCACGTAGCTGGTGCTGAGCTGCGACTCGCCGGCAGGGTTGGCGGCGGCGCTGCTGCTGCCGTTGTTGTTGTTGCTGCCGCTGGCGGGCAGGACGTCGCCGCCGTTCTGGTAGCCAGAGTAGCCGCCCGGAGGCACGTCCATGGCCTCCTCGCGCTGCTTCAGCTGCTGCAAGGTCTGCTGCAGCTGCATGGCCGCGTTGCGGGCGTAGTCCATGTTGTTGGGGTCGCCCGGGGGGTTCGGGGAGCCGGCGTTGGCGTTGACGCTGTCGAAGAGCTGCTGCTGCTGCTGGGCCTGGGCCTCGATGTGCAGCTGGTGCATCCCGTGGACCACCGTGGCCGGGGCGGTCATGACGCCGCTGGGCGTGGCGCTCAGCTGCGGCTGCTGCGACGACTGCTGCTGAGATTGCTGCGCGGCCTGCTGCTGGCCCTGGGCCGCCTGCTGCTGCTGCTGCTCGGCGTAGTTCCAGTTGGAGTCGGTCGAGTTGGCCTCCAGGTGGTTCTCGTTGAGCTTCTGGGTGGGCGGCAGGATCATGCTCTGGGTGGTCTTCTGGGGCACCGCCTCCGCGCCCCCGGCCGCCCCGCCGTCGGTGGCGGCGTGCGCCTCGGAAGAAGAGCCAGTCTTTTCGTTGTTGTTGCCCCCGTTGCCGACGCTCGAGTGGTCCAGGTAGTCCATGCACATCCAGCGACCGCGCTTGAACGGCTCCGTCGACTCGATCTTGACCACCTTGAACCGCTCGCTGCGGTGCTGCGTCTCCTTGATGTCGTCCTTCTTCTTGGTGCCCCCGGGCGTCACCGCGGCGCTCACCACGTTGATGATGTTGTCCGACACATTGACCTGCACGTTCTGGATGGTCTGCCCCAGCGACGGCCCTATCGGGTCCACCACCACCAGGCCGTACTGCGAGCTGGTCGGTATCACCGGGGCGTTCGTGCTGAGGGCGTTGTTCGCGTAGTAGACCTCCTCCTTGGAGAACGTGTCCTCCGACATCGAGGGCGTCTCGTTCTCCAGGTCCGTGATCCGGCTGTTGTCGTCCGTGTGAGATTCGTCCAGGTCGTCGGCCGACTCGTCCCCGGTGTCCCCGGCGGCGTTCAGCTTGGGGTGACCCACCGTCACCGAGGTGATCTCGAACGAGGAAGTCGTCTTTGGTTTGCGATTGGCGCCACCGCCGCCGGCCGAGGAGCCCCCGGCCGCGCCTGATCCCCCGCCCACTGTCAGCGAGGAGGCGTGGCCCTGGCTGTGGCTAGTCTGCTGCGGTTGCTGGTGGTGGTGGTGCTGGTGATGCTGGTGGTGGTGATGGTGATGATGGTGGTGATGTGGTTGGTGGTGGGGGGCTGGACCTGGGCCGGGGCCGGGGCCAGGGACCGGGGCTGGGACAGCCACTGCGGCGCCTCCCATTGAGCGGGCCCCGTTGTTGTTGGGGGAGCTGGCCTTGCTGTTGTTGGTGGCACTGCTGTTGGTGTTGGAGGTGCTGCTGCCGCTGCTGCTGCTGTTGCTCCCCGGGATGGGCTGCTGCTGGGGGGTGCTGTGGCCGCTGCTGCTGCTGTTGGTGGTGGTGGACTTGGGGGCCAGCGAGGTGGAGGTGGACGTGGCCAGGCTCGAGTTGCTGCTGGTCCTGGAGACCGAGGCCGGGGTCGTAGCTGACGACGCCGCCGCCGCCGCCACCCGACTCAGGGAGTTCAGCCTCAGGCTCTCGCTGGTGGTGCGCTGGAGGGCGGGGTTGCTCCCGGCGCTGTTGCTGTTGGTGTTGGTGCTGGGCTGGTACGCGTTGTTGCCCGGCGAGTAGAACCCTGTCATGGGAATATGGTAGTTGCTGGTCAGCGAGTTGACCTTGGTCAGCTTGCGGATGTTGCCGGCGGTGCCGCCCACGCTGACGCCCCTCGCCGGGGTCAGCATGGAGTTCCGGCGGCCCGGATTGTTGCCGGGACCGGCGTTGGCGGCCGCCGGCTTGAACTTGGCGTTGACCGTGCGATCGAACATGTTGCCGAGACTGCTCCTCTGCTGCTGCTGCGGCTGCTGCTGCTGCTGTGGCTGATTGCTGGTCGTGGCGGCGGAGGGGCCGACCACCACTGCTGCTGATTGCTGGCGGCGCACGAGGGGCAAGGCTTCCTGGGAGTTTTCCGGCGACGAGGCCTGCGAGTTGGTGGGCGACTGATTAGCTATCGAGGCCGATGAGGCTGCTGCGGTGACTGATGTGGTGCTGGTGGCTGGTTGCTGTTGTTGATGCTGGTGGTGCTGCTGCTGCTGCTGCTGTTGGTGACCGGAATCTTCGCTGACCGCGCTTTGATTCTCGGCCATAATCGAATTGGACTTCAGCGTGCGCAAAGTCTTCAGCAAATAATCCAGGATTGCTGACGGTTCTTGGATTATTTGTGCCACGAGAAAAGAGTACCCTTTGGGTCGTTAGTTTTTGTTGGTTTTGGCTTAATTTTCGTTTAGTTTCTTGTCTGGTTTAACTCTCGGTTAGCGGGCTAGTTTTCTGTCAGTTTCTGCTGGTCGGCTACCACGCCGGCTACCGCCAATTCGAATGCGATCTCTGCACTGGCCGACCGACGACGACGATGCATAATAGCGGTTGGGCTCACGCTGCGATGTCAGGTGCCAACTGATTCGATCTAATCCGTGCTACACTGTTCCCGGTCCCGATTCCGATCCCGATCTCGACGCGACGCGACGCAATATGAACCGACGACGACGACGGCGACGACGCGGGTAACGCGAAACTGTTATTTGTTGCCTTTCTGGCGGCAGGCGGCAGGGGGGGAGTGGGAGTAGATTCTGTAGATTTATTAATTTATCTGCCTGCCCTTGCCAGCTGGCTTGCTAGGTGCTGGGTGGTGGGTGGACGACTACAACTGGCCTCTGGCTCCAGCGCGCGGAGGAGGGACACTACCACCAACAATAACAACACTGGTCGGAGGCGACAGCTGGGGGAGCAGCGCCATCTAGCGCCTTCTAGCACTAACACTCTCGAAACTCACACTCACACGCATTTACACCGCGTCTCACACACACACGCGCATGTGTGTAGAACAGCACAGCTGTTTGAGGATGCGATCAGGACTCGGTTGAGGATCACGTTCAGGACACACGTAAAATATTTCTTAAAATTACTAAAATATTTCAGTGAATTTTTTGTAACTGAGGATTTTTTGACTTTGGAGCACGTTGATCCGCTGGATACACCTGTGCTTGTGGCTGCACTTTTGTTGTCTCGTCACACGCACGCACTGTTCGGTTGCTTTGGCGAAGTTCTGGCTTCCCTTTCGCAGAATTGATCGATTTCTCCGGTCCGGCTTACTAGCACATTGCAGTAAATTGTAGAAATGAAATTCCTGTGAAAGATCAGAGCAGAGGAGAGCGGGTTATAGCAAGGCAGGTGGTGGAAATTCAAAACCCAGTAAACACTAATGGTATTTTTTGTTTGTTTATTGAATTATAAGCCCCAGAACCGATAGAGAGACCCAAATAATATCAACAGACAACGCAACGTATACGTAATGTGCGGGTTACAGGGACACCTCCTCGGAACACCTGCCCAACAGTTTCTTTGAAGATAAAGTTTCTTTGTAAACTATGGTTTCATCCAAAAATGTCATGAAAATGTATAATAATTTATTCATTCAAGGCGTATTATAGCATTTTCTACAAGTATCTAGTTAGGTTTCATAACTGCGTAGTTCATTATTCGTTTATTATCATCATGACGATTTGATGATGCTTTTGTGTGTTTTTCATTATTTTTTGTTTCGCGTTCTTTTTTTTTTATTATTGATTTCATTGAGTTGTCTGGCAGTGCCCCTTCCCTGGCCAGTGGTACGTCGTAGTTTTGTTGAATTAGTTAAGTGCTACGTTAGAAGAACAGGGCTTGGACCCGAACAGGGGGACTTCCCTCCACTTCGTACCTCTTGTTTGCCTTTAATAACATTTTTGCAAAAATAAAGAAATATCATTTTCCCCCTCCTTCTCGCCCTTAGCCCACTCTTGTTTATCTTTGCATTTGCAATTGAGTATTTAAATATTTGTCTTCCTTTCGGCGCTGATTTCTTCGTTTTCTTCTCATTATTTAATCGATTTCGTTTGCGGAAATCAGAAATGAGCACGCCAGCCCGAAGCCGGGGGAGAACGAGAGAGATAAAAGCCAGCAACAAAGTGGATTGCGAAAAAAGTTGCCAAAAAGTTTGCAAACATTTTGGGGCACACGCGCGTATTTTTGGAGGTGCCTGTGACTGTGTGGGTTAATCACCGTAAGCTCTACTGATCATTCATAAATTGCGTGGCCAGGCACGAAAGAAGGTAGTTCCACTTAGGGAGTGCCTACTGTTTACTGTTGGTGGGTTCAAGCCGAGCGTGTGCCCTGCCAGAAGGCAAATGTTGGACCTTGGCGCTACTCTTTGTTCTCCCCCTGCCGGAATCCGATCACTTGTGGCTAGAAAAGGAATTGGAGAAGTGGATGATGATGATAAATCACAAGCCAGAAGAGCTCCAAAACAGAAACAACAAATCAGTTATAGGTCAACACTGGTCGTAGCACTCTATCAAGGTGGATTTTTTGCGAATTTTCAAGAGTCTATTGGCCTTGTTCTTGAGGCACACAGGTGTTGGCCGAGGCAACTAGTATTTTCTGAGGCAATAACTGATGAATCTTAAGGATAAAAGCAAATCAACTCCTAGGTCTGGTCCGCCCTTTAACCCTTCGGTTCATCCAATAATCAGTGCAGGAAAGCGGGGATTGCAACGAGAGAGAGAGAGATCGGCTTCCTCGCCTGCCTCAATAACAAGCCAACAACAAACAACAACAAACGGTGGGGAGAGGCGGTGGGAAGAGCTCAGAGAAGTTGAAAGAAAATGAGAAGCAAGTGCAGACAAGAAACAAGCAACAGAAAAAGAACTAATTGCAACGACAAAGCATAAAATCGATGCCAGGCCAACAATAACAAATACAAATACAAAAAATGTAATGAAAAACAACAACAACAGATAGCGGCGACCGCGAGAGAGATAGAGAGAAAAGGCGCAGAGTGCGCGGCGCGCAGAGAAAATTGCAATCAATTTGCTCCCCACGAGAGGCCGAATCAGCCCCACCAGAGAGGCTCTCCTTTGCTTCTTCCTTCCAACGTGGGCGCCTACAAGTGGGCGGGGCGGGGGCCGCATACCAAACAAACCGCAAGAGGAGCAGAAAAAGTGCAAATCGGAGACGGCTGCTCTCTCGCAGTCTGCTCTCTCTCGTTTTCCCCCAGTGCCTCTCTCGCTCGTGGACAGCTGCCGGTAATCAATATTGATGATGATAGCGCAGCAGCAGCAGCAGCAGGCAGCAGCCCAAGATAAAGAGAAAAACAGGAAAGGTCTGAATTTTCTGCATCACATAAACATTTTCAAATAAAAGTAAATAAAATAGACGAATGAATCACCTTTGAAATAGAACTAAAAAAAGAACCAAAAAAACAGTCTCTTTTATTTTTAATAAATGGAAAAATAACTAATATTAATTGAATTTAGGAATTAAAAATTAAATTAAAAAAAAACACTCTCATTGTCTCTCGCAACCGGAGGGACTTCCACTTCGCTCCCTCTCGCTTCCACAAGGAAATGATTCACAATGCAGGAGAGTGTGGGGGAAAAGAAAACCGAAGGCGTTGTAGGAGGAAGCAAGGAGCCCAACCAGAAACAGGAAGGCGGAGAGCGAGCCGAAAGAAGGCAATGAAAATGTTTATCAAACGAGAAAAGAGACTGCGAGCAGAAGCAACAACCAGCCGAGATTACAATGGCAGTGCATCCACGAGATACGAGATACGGCGAGATACAATTTCAAATCAAATAAAAATTTTCAATTGAACCGAGGCGTGGAATAGGAGGCCCATAAAACGGAATTAAGCAACGAATGTAAACTGGAGTGGTTGTAACGACAGGGGAGATACCCTATAAATATCATTATTATAAAAATAAAGTATTTTATTGAAACTAAAAGATACTTCCTATAGCATTTTCAATCAATGGTAGTACCTATGGAAAACTAGAGTACCAAACTACTGGGAAATAGGAATGAAACCTCGTTTGGGTGACGTGACTGCCTGCACACACAGCCTTTCTTTTAATCCCCCTGATGGAACGCAGTTTCTGTTCTTCCGAAGCCACCCCACCCCCGAAATCCAGAACAGCAAACCTCAGATATCAAGGAGCATGTTTGGGTCTGTTATTATTTGCAGGCCAGTCGACAGACCAATTTGTATCGGATTTCTAAACAAAACCTTAAAATCTTTGAAATCGGATATTAAAAAAGACTTGTTCGTTAGGATAAGATAGGTAGGCTGTTTAAGAACAGAGTTACCTCAAGAATATGGAAACTGGTTCCAATACGAAGTTGAAATTAGCATTTTTTGGAATTTGTGGAATAATAATTATTAATCAAAGCAACACACTAGAAAACTGCGTTTTTTTAATCGGAAACTTGACCGCAACTGGCCCTAAACATCAACCATATGTTGGAGCTGGCCCCGACTAGAGTTCTTGTTATTTTTGGTAACTTAAGACTGCAGCTGGCAGTGCAAGCAAGCTCTTGTGTAAACACAGGAGCTTATCCCTGGCAGCGATCGTTACCCAATACCGCTAAACACTTGTTACGGGAGGCATAGAAGTACGCTTTGGACCGATTTCCAGGGAAAATCAGGGGCTACCGCAGCACCCCAGTATCGGTATGGATATCGGATTGCAAATAAGCAGAAAATTGCAAAATGGCACTAAAAACAATGCCGTCGCAACTAACACTTGACCAAACAATCAAGGCGAAACAGCGAAGAACAGAGCAGAAATAAACAACGCCAACAGCTGACATTATAAACAAAAGCGAGTGGCGAAAAAAACTGGAGTTAATCAAATGCTTGGCCAGCTGTTTTCGTTTTGGTTTGGCTTTTAGTTTCCAGCAAGATATAGAGTTGAGAATCAAGGAGGTGGAGGGGGTGAAGCTAGGGGGTAGGGGCTAGAAGGGGGCCTAAGGAAGTCTAAGGTACAAAGTGCAATTCCACAACGCAGCGAAAGTGAAGAGATGGCCGAGCGAAGAGAGGAGGAAGAACTGCAGAGCAAAAAGGATGGGCACACGCACACACCTATGGGTGCACAAACACACACACACACAATTACGCGACATTTTTGCACTTCAATCAGATACGTTTCATTGAATTTTTCTCGATTTTCTGATCGATTTGTAGCACTGTGCCTCGGCGGCGGTGGTCACTGTTTGCTTCTTGTCTCCCTCCTCCTCGGCACTAGACACTCGACGCTGCTGCAACACTTACGCGGACGGCAGATGGCAGTAACTGTTCCTTTCGTACTACAATAACGGTAAACACACAATAAACAACAACCGAACGAACGGCAACAATTAAAATTTTGATTGGATTTTAGTTTTTCGTTGCGTTTTACTAATCGGACAAAAGGAAGGTAAATGACAGTTTTTTGACAGTTGGCTGGCAAAAGCAAAATCTGAGAGAAGAGAGCCCGAGAGCGCCACGAGTTGGACGGCGGAGGGAGAGAACTTGGGCCAACTCGAGAGATAGCGAGCGAGAGCGAACGAAAGAGAGGTATTAAGTAAACGAAGAAGCGTGCATAGAAGATTGGCGAAAAAAGTTTCGCGAAAAATAAAGTAGAGAAATGCCGTGAAAAGCAAACAAACGAATTTAACAATTTTTGCAAAACTTTTCGCGAGCTATTTTTTCAGTTTTGGTTTTCCTAGCAGCCGAGAGGCTCGTATAAACGGACACACACACACACACAGACACTGGGGTCTCTCTCTTTTTTTCTGCTCTCGCTCCCCGAGAGTCGGCAATCCACACCATTTTTTCCGCTTCTCTTCGCTTGTCACATTACTTTTAGCACCAATTCGCTGCCATTGGCTTTTTGCAAATAAATTAAATTTTCAGCGCATATAAATTTTCCATCAGTGCTTTTTGTGCTCCGTTTTCTTATTCAATTTACACGCACACACTGCCCAAGCAGCAGCAGTAGCAGCAGCGGAGCACTCACACTCTCGCAGCGTCAAGTCACTCACACACACAGCGAACGCACACGTCACACTCATACAGCCACACGCACGCACATACACAGTTTTTTCTTCGATTTTGCGCTGGCCTCTGGCTTTTTTGCTTTTCTTGCCTCGATTCCGCGCCGCGAGTTCTGCGATTTCACAAACGGTTTGCGAAGCGTTTGGGAGGCGCCTGACACCCTTTGCGGTGTTCGATCGCTATTATCAATAACAAAACTAAAATTCTTTTCACCTTGAAATTTTTACGGCAGCCAGCGACGGGCCTTTTGCAACACTTTTGACGGAACGGCTGACAGCACTGCCTAAAAGTGTTTGTCAACGAAGATTTTTGCAGTGCTGCACAACATTCGTTGCAGTGCTCAAAAGCGCAGTCAGTAGTTTTGTAAAATTAACGTTAGGTGGCGCTAAATTGTTAGTTACATTTTAAATGTGCTAAAATTACAGCTATCAGCTCTTGAAAGATAGCACGGTTTCAAGGTTTTAAGTGCCAGGTGTCGCCACTGACGGCGAACCATGAAATCAGCTGGTGGGCCCCGAGATGCAATTACGAACCATTATGAAGGATATTTTAGGGTAAACCCACTACCTCCATTATGAGATTCAGATTTGTAAAGTCCATCAGGTCGAAGGTGAAGTTCTCCCGGGGGATTCGTGCGCATCCTGGTCACTGATCAAGTGCAGCTTCTGTACCGGCAGCCTCTCCACCAGAATCGCTAAAGGATTTTCTAGCGGTGGTCTTCCACGGCATGTAGCGGCGATCGTAAACAACATGACCAGCGTGGAGCGGGTACCGGAGTACCGACTGATGGCATCGGAGCAACCGTTGAAGATTTCCTCGGCTGGGCCACCGGTCATCTGCGCCACAACCGGGTAATTTCTTGTCCTTCTAGAACTGAAATCCTGATGAAGGAAATCTGCCGCGCAATGACATCCAGCGCACAGTAGGCCGGATTGCCAAATAAGCGGCATAAAGTCGAAAATTTTATTTAAATAAATCTTAATTTTTTTTAAACTTATCAATATTAAATTCCCTGTATAATAAGTATTAGAAAGTATTTTTGGTTGAAATGCAACCTTTCAATTTTTATTTAGCTTCAAAGTCAAGTGATTGAACAGCTGATTTTTGTGATTAAGTTGGCGGGAAACTTTTGTTGACTTTGTGCGCTTGGCAATCACACACGAAAAAAAGAATTTTGCATTATTTAAAATGAATTTTAAACCTCGAGGTAAGAAAATTGAGTTTAATGAAAGCATTTTGTGTAAAATTATTTTATGTGTATTATATGTGTATTGTTTTGTGTTGTCCAAAAAGAAAAACCTAACCTTTATGTTCGTCTTCTGTGGAGAAAAAAAGTCTTCTGCGTATTTCTGCAATGTGTAATGTATCTTTAACAAAAGTAGAAACTATTTAGAAAAATATAAAAAAAATCTCATTTGCGGCTTTTTGCGGCTTTTTCGATGATGACATTTTCAAGATGTGCATGAGTTCTGTCATGCAACCTTGCTAGACGTATGAATTGACAGCGCTCGCGACTCTAATGCGCTTGCTGAATGGATATTTGGCCAGATTAATGAGGGTAGACTGACAGTCGACCAGAAGGGCGAACTTTACAAAAAAATTAAAAGCTTTGAAATTTATATAAAATCAAATCTGCAAAAGTGTAGCCGTAATATGCGAACGTTCAAAAAAAAACAATCAGAGTGGCTATCAAAGTCTTTAAAAATAGTTTTGGATAACCAAGCGGATATTCCAAATTTAACAAAGGGAAGACCAAAGCTATCTTATGAGGAAGGAGGAACGCGTCTTTGCCAAAGCACAATGTTTTAACACTTAGTATACATATGTAAGCATAAAATCTTAATGTATATCCTTTTATTCCTATTTAAGCAAAAATGAAATCCATGTTTATTATAAATAATAAAAATCAGTATAATATGTAAGAAAATAATAAATATAAGTATAAAAAACGAAATCTAACTTCAGATCACGTATACGTTATGTTGTCTTCCATGGGCAGTTAAGGTAGGCGTGGCCAAACTTACTAAAAACATTGCTTAAACATTTATAGTGGTGTATTCTTAAAATATGCTAAGTTTTTGCTCGATATATACAATTTTCGATTTTATGCCACTTATTTGGCAATCCGGCCTACTGTGCAGCGTCCTGGCTGGTGATGGTGATGCTAGATCTAGTTTTTGTTTATTTGCTTTCATTATAATTAGATTTAATTTTCATGTTCAATTTTCATAATTTCGTAATGTAATTGGTCTCGTTTTATTCAGGATTAATGAGACAATATTGTTCAATATATAAGTGTCAAAAAGGACACATATTCTTGTAAGTTGTACCGAAAAAATTGCGTCAAAGTGCAAAAACATTACAAAAGTGAAAAAATGTCAGTTTCTTTGTTTCAAAAAAATTAAAAATGTGTCTTTTTTTCAAAAGCTTCAACATTGAACTTTTGAAATACGTCGAAAATTTTAATATCATTTGAAAATTACGCGTTGGGGAATTTTTAAGCGCAAAAAAGTCTCGCAAAAACGGTTTTTGCTAAATACATCACGATTTTTAGGGTGTTACAAATATTTCAAATACGGTTTTGTACTATATTCGACTATATTAATCAATTCCTGCTATGTCACTTTAAAAGGGTTTTGTCGTGATATCTACTTATTTTTATTTATTTCCTGTTAAATTAATCTACTAAATGAGGCAATTTAAAGTAAAATTTCAAGTTCTTTAAGCCAAAAACAAGGAGGCTGTATAGGCTGTAGTTATCTTCTAATTTAACCTTTTCAAAAATACTTTTAAAAAAATAGATATTGTTGCATAATCTGCGTATTCTCATAATCCTTTTTTATAGCTTCTGAGATCCACGAGTTCGTTCAGATCCCTGCTCCATAAACTTTCAAGAATACAAGAATATATCCTTGAACTCTATGTTAGAGCTCCGGAATAATAGCACCATGTGAAACCATCCTTATATGAAAGCGACATCGTTCTGAATAAAACCAGGGCCAACGATACAATAGTACCTTTGTTTTCGTTGGGAAAATTATCACCACAATACATCAGCTTTTACGGTAAGAAAGTTACTTGGAAAACAATCAACCAAAGGCGACTTTTTGTTCACTGGGGTGTTTGAAAATCCTTGCCTATTTTTTTGCGGCCCTTCGATGTCAAAGCGAAAAGAAATCACGCTAATGATCGACACACCCTCGACCAGACGACTTCTGGCATATATGCGCATATATCATGCCGCTGGAGTGGTCAGTCTGCGATGGAACGTGTTCGGGATTAGAATTAATTCCAATGGCCCTGCCCCCTGTCCTTCCACCCGCCGATTGCAGGCGACACCCTCGACATCCGGACTCATTTAAATTGCAGCAGGCAGGCTGGCAGTCCATCTGAAAAAAAAAAACGAAGAAACAAACCAACGCCTGGGGTCCGGTCACTCTGCGAAACTCTCCCCCTTTCGCCTCGAAGGACTCGAAGGACTCCACTGGACATGTTTTGTGCGTAATTAGTGCAGACCGATGCGCTGCACCCTCGTTAAATTGGCAGGCAGCCAGGCGTGCTCTCCTCGCTCGGAGTCTCCAGCCCCAGCTCCCGTCCAGGAGGAACATTTCTGCTTTTCTTAACAATTTCCATTTGATTGCATTCCGAGCGGGGAAGCGAGGGGAAGTGCTTTCCCGGGCATTCATTAGGGTGACCAAAGTCGGCGGGCTTAACTGTCATTTCCATAAGGTTCGAGTTGCACTTGAAAAAAATTCAATATCTTTGCTTAGAATTAGGCTACGCTAGTTTAAATAAATATTAAAACTACAGATAACAATAATATTATTATTAATAACTTAAAATTTATTTTCCAAAATATACCTTTTATTTTTAAATAATTTTAAATTCACTTCAAAGTTTCTTTATTTCTACTTAGTAATGATGGAAATAAGTTTAAAAAGTCAGTATCATAAAGTCAACCAAAATGTGTTTCTGAATTGTTTTCTTACAGTGTACCTGAAGAAGAAGACGACCATGTCTGATGTTGAGCCCCCAAAAAACCCACCCACACACACACAACAAGCCCCACCGCATATGCAAAACTTTGCCGTTTCATTTGAATTTCCCCGCCTACGCTTTCTTCTCTCTCTCCGCTTTCTTCTCGCTCCCGTGGAGCCCGCTCTCCTCCGCCCATTCCCGACCCGTAATTATGAAGATGAATGTTCTTATTGCTTTTATATCCCTTCTGCGTGTGTGTCCGCAGCGAGAGTGTGTGCGAGTGCGATGGCGAGTGCGAGGGAGCCTGTCCTGCGCGGCTTAGCTGCCAACATTCTCTATTAATAATGCTTTCAGTCACACTCTGCATACACGTTCGTTTGAATTTGTTGCCATTCGGACTGAAGGAATTCCTTCTCAGGAGGTGCAGTGGGACAAAGTCGATGGAGATTGGAAAATATTTGGAAAATAAAAATGACAATAATTAAATAAAAATTCTGTTTTAAGGTCATTCTTGTTTGGATTTTAGTAGACTAGCCTAGTTAAGTTTTAAATCATTTTGCCCCACTGTGCCGCAGGACAAGCGCGTGCAACTTGCGCCTCCTGCCAGCCTCCCACATCTCGTTTCTTTTCGTTTCGGCGACGACGGTCGCAATAATAAAGGAAAATCCGACAGGATGCTAATGCGTATTTAGTTATTTAGCCTGTGGATGTGTGTCTGTGTGTGTGTGTGAGTGTGTGTGTGGGAGGATAAGAGGAAGAAAGGACTTGCTGGCTTAGGACTCGTCGCGTTTATGTTTGTTTTACGCTCGTGTGTGTGTGCAGGGGATGCAAAAAATATTTGCATATTATCGATTTTCTTCCCCCTCCCCCTCCACTCCCACTCCCACTCAGAGTAACGGGAATGGGTAATGGTGTGTGGGCCACATACGCACACTCTGATAAGGCTAGAATGTCCTTAAAGCTCATTTTACATTTATAGAAAGTTGAGGACATTTAAGTAGCTTAGAATGGACCTTAAACCGATCAATTCGGTTTTGAGTGGAAAAAAGAAACATGAAGCCGAGGCACAAAATGGCGACCAGGACCCTGGACCCTGGCCAGGACCTAAGCGGATTTCAACAATTTAAATAGAATATTTTCTTTAGAGGGCAAAAATGTCAAACGTGGACCGAACGAAAGCGTCCAATTAGGTTTGGGCCGGGCCGAGAAAGTTTCCAATCAACCCCCGTCTTTGAAAATTCTGCTGCGTGGGATTTTTGAACAGCTGCCTCTGGGCGGGGTGTTCGATAAGCATTGCGGGGGCGGCTCTACCA